TGTGAGCAGTGACAGTCTATTTCATGCTTGAATGCAATCTTCAGGACATGTGTGTTGTGTTTTGGCTTGACTATTTATATGTGCTGATCAATGGTGTATTATGGGTAGCAAGGTCTATTGTACTATCCTAATGGTTGTAATGGTTATGTTTCAAATTATTCTAGAGGCTATTGAGTAAGAATAATTGTGAAGTTATTTGTAGCTATTGTATAATATTGTTTGTTAACTTTTATTCATTATTATTATTTAATTATTTATTTATTATTATTAAATTTACTTATAGTTTATATGTGTATTCATAGTTTGTTAATTTGTTTATTATTTACTTAATCTGTTCATTTATTTATTTAGATTTTTTATTTTTTTATTTTATTTACATTTTTTATTATTTGTTATTTTATTTATTTAGTTTAAAGTATCCGTTTTGTATATATTACATATATTTGCATTTTTCATGGTGGTATTTTACAGGTTTTTCATTTTCAGTTTTCAATTTTTAAGTAACATAGAATTATTTTGGGGGGCCTGCATTTTGAGATAAGTTCTGACTGTTTATTTAGTAATTTGCGTTGGTCTGTTAAGGTGATTATAGCTATTTTCATCACCAGAGAGTTTACATTTTTTGGGATATATTGTTGTAGGCTGATGTTGTTTTCCTTGTTTTCCATGATATTTTTGGTGTAATTTGGTTTTTGTTTTTAATTTCTCATATATGTTTGGAAAGCATTGTGCTGTTCATGTATTTATTATTTGTAAAGGATGTTTTGTGTGCGTGCATGGTTTCTCCATTTCCATGGTCCTTCAGTTACACCTATATATATTTTTTCTTTGTTATTTGCTGTTTTTACAGTGCCTTGGTATATTATATTGTTTTGCAAGCAATTGCTATTTTTACTTTGTGCTTATTTTCATTTGTTCTTGAGCTAAAGAGATGGCCTTATCTAGCATGGGTTCTGTTATAAAAGGGTAGAAATCTTTTACATCTAGTTGTATAAATTTGCAATTATGTTTGGTTTTGAGTTTATGGAACAAGTCTATAGTTGTTTTAGTGTTTTCCACTGCTAACTTTGTTCATCCTTAGTTCTGAGTTAATTCTTTCTAGTATTATTTTATTTATTATACCTAGTTCACTTTTTTGAGTTTATGAGTTTGCATGTTGGGTTTATTTTGAAGTTTTCTTTGTGGCCTTTTAGTGTAATGAATGCTTGTGATTTAGTGATGCAATTTATTTGGTTATCTAAGTTTAATATTTGGGTGACATTTTTTTAGCTTCCATGTTAATACCGTATTTTGTAGTTTTGGTACTTTTCTGTATGTTTTAGTTATGTTATCCTTGAGTTGTGTTTTTGGGGCAGGTTTAGTTCATATAAATTTTTAATTTTGCCCAATTGTGATGAATACATCAGGTGAATTGTCAATTTCTTTTGAATTTTTGTGTTTCTTACTAAGTTAGTTAAGTCTTTGAATTTCTCTTGTTCCCCTTGATTTTGGAGACAATTTTTTTTGTTTTAAAACCTGATTTTTTCTTGAGTGTAGCATTTGTGTTAAATTTAAGATGTATTACATAATTTCATGAAGTCTGAACAAAATGTCAGTAAGCTTTACATAATAAATTTATCTAATTCTCTCAGGTTTTAGCTAAAATAAATAAAATTTATTCTATTTATATTGTATATCTTCATTGTTTGTGATCATTCATGTCCAAGAATGCATAAAAATTAGCAACATGAACATTGAATGAGTTATTAATTTTGTGAAAGAGTTATTTCCCTCTATTGCAATGTCTCAAAAATTTATATTCATGCTGTTTGGATTTCACAAGTATTAGAACAAACCACTATTCTTGAATATATATTGATCCTTTCCACCTGCAAAAATTATTGGATTCACCTTTTTGTCCTATATCGTATTTTAAAATAAGATTCTGTCATCATTTTATGTTGAGGCAAAACTTCTCAGTGTTATCTTTTAATAATTTTTGGGAAATCTTAAAAATCTTTTAAGTTTACTTATGTTTTTATTACTTGTTTGGGCATGTTCTTTAATAAGAGTTTACAGAAATATGACAAGTTTATTTTGGTGAAAATTATAACTTTTACTGCACTTTTCCCATATTAAACACAAAGTGTAAACAGTGTCAGCTGTGCATTTTATATAAAATGCACCGTTGACACTGTTTACAAAGTATGTTCTGGAAAACTTTAGAAATTGAAACCTTCTGAATTCAGGGAACATTTAAAGAAAGATGCAGTGCAACCAAAACTTGAACGTGCACAAAGGTCAGTCATTCAGCTGCAATAGGAAGTTTACAAATGTTATAAAAATTTAGAAACTTAGACAATAGGTCTTGCATGATCTTATAGAAAATATTGAAGTATTTGTCTTTCTACCATTGCTCTACATGGAAAAAAGAATCATTTTTGGGTAGTCCTTGGTGATGAAAAATGAATTTATTTTTTAGACGTAAAATAAAAATGAAGAAAATCCTAGTTAGATCCCAAACAGAATCTAGTGCTTTACTTTTTTTATCTTCTTTCATTCATTTCTGTTATCATTTTCTTTGTTTTTTTCTTCTCTTTCTCAAAACAATTTGTTTCACTCCATTCTTGCATAGAAAGAAAAGCTCAGTTCAAAGTAACTATACTGAAATGATAATCTTCTTTCTGTCATTGTAATCCAAACTCATAATGATCAAACTATTGGCTCAAGATAAGACAGTAATTTGCAAAAGAATTTAGAATCATTCATCTTTAAGATTCCAAGTTATCAGATAATAATTCTTTTTCAGTCAGAGATTATTTACAGTGAAAATCAACATTTTGCATTGTCTGATAAACGTTTTGGCAAAATCTAATATGTCCCTGATAAAAAAGAAATCTGAATTCTGCAGTTACTTTTTTATATCTTCAAAACTGTACTATTAAAACAAGATGCTCATTTAATTTTGAAATGACATAATTTTGATGTCTGTTGAGTGTGTTTTGTTAATCTTCCCTTTCTTGAATGTTACTTTTGTACATTTATCTAATCCAAACTCCATACTGATATCACTGCTGAAATATTTTATTATTTTTTGTGGAGACCTTTCAACTCATTGTCATCTTTGGCAAAAAGTTTGAGAATAAGTCATTAAATACTTTGTTTTTTTAAATTTTATATCCATAGTTATTACTGTTTAGTTCCTGTGAAAGGGTGGTTAGGGTCAGACAAAACAGAAGAGGTGACAGGGATTAAAAAAAAATCAGTTAAAAAATTCCTGTTGGATATTCAAATAATTGGAAGTGGCAGTGCCTTTGGTGTGACTTGGGTATAATGTGGTTTTCCACAATTCCATACTATATTTATAGAAATTTACTATCACTGAAGAGACTTTATACATTTCCAAAGCCTTAATGATCCACACTATCAATTACTTTGATATTCCTAAGAGGATCATATATCATAAAATCTGAAAAGTGTAATATTATCCATATAGATTTATGAACATTTTTGACAGTGTCTCACTGAGCACTCCTGGTACTTAATTTTATCTTTATAAATATAATAAATATGAGTGATGGATGTCAGGTAGGGGTGACAATTATATGTTTATATTCTTCTTTCAAAAATAAATTGTTAAGAACATGCTCTAGTTATCTATATTTTCATCAATGTTTACTTATTCATCACAAACAAAAGCTATCTTGCATATGGGGACTTGATCTTGTTAGCAATAGGAATATACATTCTTCAAAGTTAATTACTCTACTTCTACAAGTTATCTTACTACCCAATGATGTGTTAATAGTTCAATTGGAATGGAAAAATGTTTCTATGCTATTCCATCAAAAGTCAAAAACCCAAATTTTGGGAAGTGTGTGAGGCTGAGAATGTTTCAGTACATCCTAGTTTTGTTTATATTGTTAATTTTTTTATAAGAAGAAATTAGCTTATAATGTAAAGTTATGTCATGCAGACAATAAAGATTAATTCCTATTCATTGTAAAATTTATTATGAGCAGTTAATGATATTTATTTTATTATTATATGTTCCATAGAGAGTAACTAGTATAAAAATATAGCTTAATAATATATTTTGAATAGGTAATTAATTTAATTATAAATAATTAATTGTTTCTTTATTTACACAGCAAAAGTACACACAAGCAGCAGTAAAACCCTTTGCAAAAACTTAGAAAATGGATAACACACTATGAAATTCAAAAATGCATTCAAGATCATCTGTGCAGATTTCTACAAAAATGATTATGTAAATATATTTTACAGCTGTATGTATAAACAAGTCTACTGACTTGTATGCATGCACCAATATATATATATATATATATATATATATATATATGATTCCTTAAAATGCTTACACATGGTTGGATGTCATACTATATATACAATTACATATGCATGTATGTATCTGTCCAAATTCTATTGCTTATACAACAGGTAAACAGGTATATGCATATAAATACTTTGTGTTTCAATCTTTTTACTTTTCTTCTTGTGAATATAGAGAGCAATAGTAGTTTTGATTTAGCTAACAAATGAATTTGCATTTAATTCCAACTCATGGTTTTATTAATTCAATTCACCTCATTTTTATCTAAAAGCTTTAAATACACGTATACAAATATTGTCATCATTACCATCCAGGTTTGTGATTAGGGGGTGGGAAGCCTACCAAACTAAAAAATATAGCAAGTAGTAAGGAATTAAAATGTATAAGTTCATTAGTACTAAAACCATCCACCCATTGATTGATAACTGAAGCTCACTTCACCCTTATTGGCATCATTAGTATCAATGATAAGCACTAGTTTATGCATTATTGGTGTTACTGCTGTTTGCCTTGTAGTTGTTGTTGTTATAGTAGCAGTAGCAATATCAGTGGCAACATAAAATCAGGCAAGATGAAGATGAGAAGGGGTAAAAAGAGGAGGAGCTAGGTAGAGTCATTAGTAGAAGCAATAGTAAAGCCGAATGAATCTTTTTCCCTCTCTTTTAAGTGTGTAATATCTCTCTCTCTCTCTCTCTCTCTTTTCTTCCTTCTTCCAGCTGCATATACAGAATTATCAGTTATCATCATGGCTACTTACAAGGTTGTAGTATTTGCATTTCTATAATATGGCTATATTATTTCAGACCCATGTTATTCACAATATTTCATTCCTAGTGAGCCTTCTACCATTCAAACTGTCACCAGTAATGTTATGGTGGCTGTTCTCTATATCCCTGGAGATGTTTTATGTTAACAGACATACCTAGTCTTGTTGGAGGCTGGAATATATTTGGTAAATGTTAACACCTGATATTCACCAGGTATATATGTTCATAAGAAAGAAATTTTAAAAAACGATCAAAAGAAGATAAAAAAGGAGTGCTATACACACACACACACACGCACACACACACATACATGTGTGTAAGTGTGCTTGTACTGGTGGACATATACACATGTACACATCTAAAAAAAGATGACAAGAAAAAAATAATAAAGCAAATGTTGCTTCCATTGAAGAATGCAGGGACATATTCCATAATGAAGACCTGTGCTCAAACAACACATCCTACAATACGGTGGTCAAAAAAGAAATTGATCTTCAACTCTACCTTCTTTGTCCACACCAACACTACAGATACACAAATCTGTGCACACATTCCTCCAGAGAGATCATCTATAAATTCGTCCACTTCTTTATCTCATGCGCTCTCATTTTTTACAAATTCTTTCTTGTTATCATTGTTTTTATCACTATTGTCAAGATTTCTATTCCTGACAACATTATCTCCAATGGCACTACTATCTCCGCAACCTCTACGATGGCATCAATATCCTCTTTGTGGAGGACATGGCTCAGGTCATTGGCCAGCCCACTGGTATAAGAAGTGAAAAGATAAATTGGAAAAACAAAAAAAGAAAAAAAAAAGAAGCAATCGTGTGAGTGCAGTTCATCCTGTTTCATTTTCTTGTTTAGTTGAACTTGGATAGTTGAATATATATTTATCTATCTATATATCTATATCTATCTATCTATCTATCTATCTATCTATCTATATATATATATATATATATATATATATATATATATTGTTATTCTTCTTGAAAAAAGTGATAAGGCATTGGAAAGTGAGAACCTGAAGTATAAAAGCTAAGAATAATTTGCAAAATGGTTTGAGAAAATGTTGCTATATTGATTCCCTAAAACCTGAGGATATATTTGTATCCTGATTGATATATACACCAAAACCCACTACATTTATCAACATGGAGCTGTCTCTATGAATTCTATACAACTGTAGATGTAAAATATAGAAAATCTTTACTGTAGAATGTTAAAAATAAAATTTCAGAATAAGGAGTTAACACTTAATCTACAATTATTACTTTATTCTAACTATTACTGCTATTGCCTTTCTATCTTTTTATTTTATCTCTGGAAATTCCCTGTTGTACTGTGGAACTATCTTTGTGATACTATTGGCTTTCTTTTAGTCTTTATTATTGACTGTAATCTGGTAGACTGTGCACTTCAAATCTGCCATATTCTTTTAATTTAGCTTTGATATCAAGCCCTGTCATAATGTGAAAACATATTTTAACCCTTCTCAAAATCCAAATCAGGTGAATGAAAGAAAAAAGAAATGATTTTCAATTCTTTTATTGACTTTCTAAATACTTTTTCCTGGTAACAATAAGGATTAATTTTAAGAATGATTTTATTGAAATTAAATTTTCTGAATATTTTTAAATATCCTTACAAAAATTGTTAACAGAAGAAACAAAATAGATAACAATTAAAAAAAAAAGGCCATTAAATTTTTGGAATAATAATTCTGAAACCAAAAATAATTCTTTCATTTTATTTGTAGTTTTAAACAGATAACATCATTCAAATTAAATGTTCTTTTTTCTCTATTATTGGCAGATTCTGTTTGATTTTTATTTCTTTGAAATATTAGACATTAAACATTTAGATTATTAAATCAACTATGCAAAATTTGAAAAAATAACCTAAAATATTATGAAAATAATTTAATTTATATCTTATTAGAGAAAATTCTATTTTCTTTAGCAGAAAAAGAAAAGAAAAAAACAAATCCTATATTTTACATTTACATAAATAAATACCAGTATAAACTTCTATGGTTGACAATTTCTAAAATGCTTCTAGTTGCAAATGTAATATTTTATGAAAAGAAATAATTTTTAATTGTTTTTATGTTATGTCTGATGTATTTCTTTTTAAAATTATATTCACTTGATGTTTCATTTTTTATGCAACCACCTGTTTGATAGGAAAGCTATTTAATTTAAAATTTACAAAAATTTGTCTATTACATCGGTCAGAGATTATTATAGTTACTGTCTATAATATTTGGATTTAGTATTTTTCCAATTTTTCTTTCTCTTAAACTCAAGATAAAATTTTGGATATTGTTACTTATAGGGAAAAAGGAAAAGAGGGGCTGAGAAAGAGAAATAAATCAAATACTGCAAACAAATAATCTTGCAAAATTCAATTAAAAGGAATAAAAAACTGAGATGTAAAAAAAAGGTAAAATAAAAAGCATAGCAAAAATATTTAAAGGTGATAATAACATTCAGGTCAAAAGTTTGAAGCTAAATTCTAAAATTACCCATCTTAAAACAAAATAAATGAAAACAATAAATAATATAATGGTGCTGATTTGAATTTTCTGGTCTAATCTTCAAGTGATCATAAGCGCTAAAATTTCATTATTTTTTTTGCCCTCCACATTTTGACCTGAAATGGATTTGTGTTTTTCCTTTTAACTTCAATTCTGACCCAGTCTTTCTGCTATTATTAACTTCCTTTAAAAGATCTTCAAAGTTAAAAAGAAGAAAAAATAAACTTGGTTAATCCACTTTCACTCCCAAAAGTCAAATTTATTTTTTCTGATGAGAAGCAGAAAAAGAAATAAAAAAAATGCAGGTTGCTATTGATGGAAACTAAGAGAGGAAAATATATTGGCAAAAGAAAAACTCTTATAATCAATGATAATAAAGTATCCTCCAACAAACAAGACATTTGTGGTTTATTTCTTTATTTGCAAAAGAAAAAAATAAAGAGAAAGCTGTACCCTTCAATTTCAAAAAAATATATCTTCTTATTCTGTAATATTTGGATTTAAACCTGGTTACTCACAGAAAAAGATCATTTTACAATTACTGCTATAGCCACTAATACCACACCAACAGCCACAACAACCATTATCAATATCACTACAGCAACAACAACAAGATTGTTATTCCCTGTTACTATTTTCTGAGTTGGCTAAATATACCAATCTGTATCTTCCATACACTTAGTGATATATATATATATATATATATATATATATATATATATATATATATATATATATATTATAATTTCCTTTTTAAATTACTTACCCGGAATTCTTTCCCATCATCTTAATGTGAAATTTAAAAAGGAATCATTGTAAAAGAAGAAAAAGAAATAATTAAAAAAAACAAAACATCTTTACTTTCTTGTATTGTAAATTATCTACCAACAATGCTATGAAATGGATTGGAAGTTTCTCCAGGCAAATGATACTCAGCAAAAGGAGGCTGACTACAAGGAAAAAAACTGACATTGCTCCTGATAAAAAACGGTAGGCATTATTGGTGCCTAGCCCAAGAATTTTATTATTATTATTATTATATCTCTTTTTCTGCAATATATTATTTTTTTATTTTTTGATATGCTTAATTTAATTTTTTTTCTTCAAACAACAATTATTTAAAAAAAGTTCTCTTTTTTTATAATTATTTTGGTCTTATTTAATTATACTTCAGATAAATTATCTTAAAATGCCTCAGTGAATTAACACTTTGTTGTTTTTCAAAATGTACATCAAGGTTATCATAATAAGAAGGCTTCCTTCGCCTGAATAATTATGTGGGTAAATAAAATTACCAAACTGATAATGAACATGATAATAAAAATTAAGTGAAAGAGAGTGAATAGAAAGAAAATTGTTAACAGCATTAATGGTAAAATGTAATTGACTAGAAAACAGATTTATTAAATGGTCACATGTAAATTGCAAATAAAAATAATGTGTGTGTGT